AACAGGACCCCGGCATATGGGTACTGATGTTTGATCCTAAGTGCCCGATTTTCGGCCCTTATGGCCTCACACATTTGGACCGGATATGTCCGCCTCTAGGATCCGGTCAGCCCAAATTGGGCTGCTTATGTCCGCATAAGTGACCTATGCTCGGGCGTCCCCCGGTGTGTCCGCCAAACGGATCCAACCTCGAAACCGGCACACGCCCAACGCTGCAACGAGTAGATCGTGACATGATTACTCCGGGATATTGTATTTCAGTCTTCCTAGGATCCACCACTGTTTCCAAAGCTTGCATTTCATTCACCGTTGCTGAGGATATACCTGGATATACACGAGACGAGCTGACAGTTGACTGAGAAGCATAAGAGACACCACTCAACCTAGTACAAGGACTACTGGGTGTGACACTTCGACGACTCCGTATGTCCGCCAGGTGATCGGACACCAAGACCGGCAAGGCCCTTGTGTCCGCCGTGATATACCGGACATGGACCGAAATTTTGGGCTTTATGTCCGCCTAAATATCCGACATAGGGCCTCAAAATTGGCCGTTTATGTCCGCACTAGGATCAAACATATATACCAGTATGCCGGGGTCCTGCTTAAACACCACGAGCTCTGAATTCGAAGTCCGACTCGTGCTACTTTCGCTCCATCATCCCGGGGAAGTGAGCTCCTACTCCATTTAAGACAGTTGCTCGTCTACTAAGTCTTATTTAGGAGGCGCAGTATCAAGCCTAAGCTCCTACGTATGAAAACATGCGTTCAGACGGTCTCACGTCGACTCAGCTCGAGTCATTTCACGACAAGGACCGAAAGCCAGGTGAGAGCGACGGCGAGTGCCTGTGGGAACGAGCTGCATCATTCGACGCGACGACAGTTCAAATTATCAAGTCCGGTTACGATAATACTACGATTACTCGATAGTCACGACGTCCGGCGAACTGACACTTATCGATGTGATTCGAACACTTACTCTAGGCGGCCAGGCAGGGCCAGATCGGCTGGCGTCGGAGTGAACCAATCAGTCTCTCCGAGGTCTCGCTATAGTGCGTGAAGTATAGCAAAACTACCCCGGCACTGCCAGTGCACGTTGTGGATTACTCGACAGCACGCAGTAAGTACTCTGAGGTTTTCTCCTCCACTGCTGAATACTCCGTAGTCATTGCTGGCATTACCTCGCTTATGGAGTCTGCTTTGACATAGGTCCTACCATGGCTGCAGAGTGGATACAACCTCTACGTCTGTCGCATACATATTTCTGACTGATACGAAGCCCTATCCCATCCGGAGCCTCTTAGCCTTTCCCCACTGGCCAGCGCTAACTTCTCCCTTATTCTTCTTGACCGTACTACTCACCTTGCTCCTCTCACCGTACGGCCCGATGCCAACGATGAGGCACAAGTTTCCGTACGCGAAAGCGAGCGAACTTTCGTTCCCGTACGCCAAATATGGGTCCGAGAACTTATTGTACTCGCTCCAATCTGTCACCCAATAGACCTTCTCTCGTCGGAACCTCTCGTAGTACTCCTCATCGAAGTCTTTTGTGGCGTCATCCTCTTCATTATGTCTGGACTGAACGATTCGTGCTCCATTCTTAAGGAGAAGATAGTGGAGAGACTCCTCTGCCCCATCCCAAGTGCATACTCGCTCAAAATTGTTTTTCATGACGACAGGGTTACATTCGTCCTCATCATCTTTCGGAATGTAGAGGACTTTGATTGACGCATGAAGTGACAGGTCGCGGCAAACGGTCCATATGACGGCGTCGCTGCCTTTGAGGCAACGTTGGGCGACGGTAACGGATTTCACGGGCATGTCAGTATACTCGTCTTTTCCCTGCTCGACTGGATACTGATATCTCAGGCCGAAGCCGAGGCTGCCGCCGTCTGGCAAGAAGGTCGGGTCGTCCAGGAGCCTCTGCAGCATCTCCCGAAACTTGGACTTGTGAAGAGCATTGGATGCCGAGACAGCTGGGCCTTCAGGCTCCGCAGTATCTTCAGGACTGGAGAAATAGAGGTTGTACGTCAAGGTGACACGATACCCCGACTCGACGGGGGTGACTTCGTGCTCGACATCGCCGTAGAATGCTGCGTACGCTAGGCGCGGCTCGGCATGGGACGCGAGGATCTCACCCGAGTCGAACTTCCACTCTTGACCTCTGTGGCGAAGGATGAGAGCACCACCTACATGCGGTGTCGGATAGACAACGACGAGCGAGCCGAACATGTTTTCTGCGCGAGGCGTATCCTTGTGGGCCTTGAAGAACGAGCCCGGCCCTGGATAGGTGCGTGTAAGCATTGCGATATCGAGGCAATGTTCAATGGGCAGGATTGGACTAACCGTAGATGTTCAACTTGTAGAGTTCCGCCCTGATAGGCTTCTTCTCGTCATAGCCCTCGAGGATCTCCGAGCGTAGAGCGCCAACGACTGCTTCATGATCCAGGGGGTAGAAATTCGTGGCGAAATTGCTGCGGTCGAGCTTCCATGCTTTCCGGTACGACTCATCGAACACGTCTTCGTTGTTACGACCGAAAGTGGCGGGGGTGCAGGTTTGTGCTAGATCCTTTACTTCGTCTTCAGTCGCTGTGGACAGGTCAATGCATCTGTGCTCATCCCATACATTTCCGGTAAAAACGTGTTTGTATATTGGATGGCAGTATACTCTTACCGAGCGTCCTTGCCGTTTGATCTGTAGAAAAGCTGAAAGTGGTCGGAGGCAATAGTACACACCCCGCTGGAGTACGGTGGCTTGTCCACAATAACACTTCGCAGTGCTGCCAGATGTTGGCCAGAAAGATCGGGCATGATACTCGACGAGGGGTCCTAGAGCAATAGAGGGGCGAGTGGGGAAAAGGGACAATGGTCTCTCGAGTCAGTGAAGGTGGGACCCACAATTACCTCTAATTTATGGCGGGATGGTGATCGGGCCATCATCCCTCTCTCACGTTCGGGTCCGCAATTTCAGGTTAGGGGCTTTGTGAGTCATGGTCTATGGAATCTCCTTGTGGAATCGGGCGCCGGCCTCTAAAGCTATTACGCGTGTTCAAGATCGAAGTCGATGCACTCTTTCGTGAGTGCCAGAGCAGACATCCCTGCGGGGCCCCGTTGTGGCTTCACGAACAGGTCCTGACATGTCTCGTTCACGGATGTCACGTACAGTAGTAAGTTCTACCCTTCCTTTGGACTCGGTTGGCCCCTATGCCTGCAGTTACTACACGGGTGTTACACGCTTATCATCTACCGTCTCCGTACTCCTCACCCCGACACTTTCAGTCCTGCTCCTTGCGCCAGGTGGGCCGATACGAACTATGAGACACAGGTTCCCATGTGCGAAAGCCAGCTGGGCGTCGTTGCCATACGCCGCGTATGGATCCGAGAACTTGTTAAAGGGGCTCCGAGCCGTCACCCAATACACTTTCTCCTTTGGGAATTTGGAGTAGTCATCCTCTTCGTCACTGCCTCGAAGGTCATCTGGGTCGTCATCCACCTCAGTACTCCTGGACTGAACGATCTTCGCACCACCGTATTGGAGAAGATACCAGTTGAACGGGTTCACGGAGCACGAGTCGGATATCTCCTCGAACTCGTCTGTCATGACGAGGGGGCTCTGATGGTCTGAGTAGAGGACTTGAAGCCTCGCATCCAGTGAGAGCTCTTGCCCGACCTTCCAGATGATGGCGTCACTGCCCTTGAGGCAGTGTTGTGCCACCGAAACAGACTTGATCGGTATATCATACCATCGATCTCTTCCCTTTTCCACCGGATACTGATATCTAAGGCCAAAGCCAAGAGTCCCTCCTTGCGGTAGGAACGTCGGGTCGTCCAAGAGTCTCTGGAGAATTTCTTTGAACTTGTCTTCGTAGGTGCGTCCCGATGTCAGAAGTGGGCCGCCTGACGGCTGTGGTTTGTTTCCTGTTGCCTCCGTATTCGACCCCGCAAAATAAAGGTTGTACGTCAAGGTGACGCGGAACCCCGATTCCACGGGAGCGACCTCGTGCTCGACGTCCCCGTAGAAAGCTGCATAGGCTAGACGCGGTGCGCCTTCGGCACTGAGGAGCTCCCCTGAGTCGAATCTCCACTCTTGACCACCATGGTGTAGGATAAGGGCGCCGCCTCTGTGTGGCGTCGGGTAGACGACCACCAATGAGCCGAACATGTTCTCTGCTCTGGCCGTGTCTTTATGCGCCTTGAAGAAAGCGCCTGGCCCTTCATCGGTAAACATTAGCAAAGTCGATAGTTGTAGGCGCTGTCAGACTAACCGTATACATTCAACTTATAGAGCTGAGCCCTAATGGGCTTGCGCTCGTCGTAGCCTTGCAAGAGTTCAGAGCGGATATCCACGATCGTCTCATAGTCTAAGGGGTGGTACGTCGTCGCAAAGTTGTCCCTGTCGAGCTTCCCCGCTTTCCGATACGATTCGTCCAGGACGTCTTCGTTGTTTCGACCGAAGGTAGCAGGGGTACAGGCTTCCGCTAATTTCCTTAATTCGTCGTCGGCGGCGCTAGATAAGTCGATGCATCTGCCGCGTAGTATTAGTATTATGTCCGGACTGGAAGCGCCGTGTGGTCCTACCTGACTTCTTTATCTGCCTTGTAATAAATCTGAAAGTTATCTCGGGCAACGGGACAGACGCCACTGCAGAAAGGTGGCTTGTCTACGATAGCCCCCCTTAGGGCCGCTATATGCTCTCGAGAAAGGTCAGACATGGGAACCGTTTTGACCTGGGCGGATGAGTCCTTAGAGCAGATGCAGGGGGAGTAACACTGATATGTATATCCACCCTTCTTTACAAGTCGCCTACACAAATCTTAGAGTCATACCTGTGTTGCGATCGAGGCTCAACCTCGTGGAGGATAGGAGGGAATGATCGGTCCCGGGAATTGCATCTAACGGAGTCAGAAACTCGAATATGGGACCCACAATTACCACTAATCAACAGCCTCGGTTCACACCAGTCAGTTACATAGATGATATTTACGACATATGCATGGGACTAATTGCGCAACGCGCAGACATGCGGCACATCGGATAAACCTTTATACTAGTACACACTTGAGTACGTCAAGTCCTCACTGCTTAGACTCCGTAGGCTTCCGATATCGTGCCTTCAGGGAAACCGGTAACGGAGCAATCATCCTTTCCTCCTTACCCTTGCTTTGGTCAACTCCATGGCTCTTGTGTGCATGGTGTTCGTGGTCGCCGTCGCTATCTGCGTCCTCCGAGACCGGAGCAGGTCTGTCAACCTCTTCCTCCCCACTAGTATATTCGAGCTCAGGCTCAGCTTCCGGCTCCTGCTCACTCCCCTCTGGCGGAAGGCTATCCCTATCCGAGCCCTCGTCACCGTCCTCCTCTTCCTCAGTCAAAATTTCCAAGAACTCTTCCTTGGGCTCTACGAGTGACCTGGCCCCCGGCGGCCCAATCCTCATGACCAAGCACAAGTTCCCTTGCGCAAACACCACTGTATTGTGGGATGCCAAGAATGGCTCCACAAACCGATTTGCCTTACCAGGGAACGTCACCCAGTGCACCTTCTCCACCAAGTTCTCGTACCCGGGCACGTTCTCGATCAGGACGCCATGTCTCATTTTTGCGACCTCGACGAGCACGTGGGTGTCTGAGAGGTAGTACGCGAGGTTGACGAATTCCTCTGTCATGACCGTGATCGGGTAGCCCTCGCCCTCGTCGGCATAGAGGACCTGCACGGAAACATCGAGCTGCAGCGCACGGCAGACAGCGAGGAGGGCCTCATCGCTCCCTTTGAGGCGGCGCCGCACGCGTCCGACAAACTTTCTGGGGAGAGGGTACTCGCGCAGGTTGCGCAGGGTGGGTTTTTCGGCAGGATATCGGTGGGTCAGCGCGAACCCGAGGGTGCCGCCGTTGGGAAGGAAGGTCTCGTCCAGCAGTAGCTCCTGCATTATATCGTGGATGCGGATCCTATCGACGGGAGGCGTGCGCATCCTAGGCCGGTCGTACCTGTCCCTCCGAAGACTCGGGATCCGGATGTTGTACACCATTGTTACAAGGTATCCAGACCGGATCGAGGCAACCTCGAATTCGACATCCTTTGCGAAAAAGGCGTATGCGACGTGTCTTTCAGGGCGCTGCTCGTCGGGGCTGCCGGTGCGGATGTCGAATGTGTCCGCCCCGCAACGTAGGACGGTCACAGCGTCCTCGTGCGGGCTGGGGTAAAATATCGCGAGCGTACCAATCAAGTCCTCGCCCGTCGGTGGAGGATCGTCTTTGACCGTAGACAGCGCTTCGTCCAACGTATCGCCATTCGGCAGACCCTGGAAGCTGACGCGACGCTTGTAGTACATCTTCAGCCCGCGAAATTCGAGATGCATGGGCTCGCCGTCGAGCCACCCCAGCTCGTCGTTGTCGAGCAGGGTCTCGCGAATGGCTTCTTTAAAGTCCTCGCGGGAGTCGACATCGAGATTCGCTGAGAAGGTGCCCCGAGGCAGCGTCTTGACTTTCACTCGGGAGCGCTCCACTGAGACGGGGCGCGCAGTTTGCGCGAGCAGCCGCACATCCGCGTCATCGCATTGGGAGAAATCCAGGAAGCTAGGATCCGAATAAATAGAATGAGTCGCAGCTGAAACGTCAAGCAGACAGAGATGAGAGGGTAAAGCCACTCACCGCGCCTCATTGCCCTTGCGGGTCTTGTAATACAGGTGGAAGCCCTCTGGGGGAATTTCGCAGACGCCGCTGCCCCAGTGTAACTTGGTCAGAACCGCCCTTCTGAGCGGATACAGCGCTGCTTCGACAGAGATGTTGTACGTCCGGTCCGCTTCCATGTTGTCAGTGAGATACGTGTGGGTAGGCGAAGGAGGAGAAGAGCAAGCGCCACTGAGGAGCGGCGTCTACCTTGGCTTTCCTTTCATCCTCATGCACCGACGTTCATTGTTCTCCGGTGCCTGCCAGTGAGCCACTCGGCACTGCATGTGGTTATGTTGCGATTCCTTTGGGTCGAGTCAAAGTTCTGAAGACGTCTTTGTTCCCTACTCTCCTGAGCGGGTACCTACAGAGTACGTCCAGTCGGCGTGCGTATTGTTAGCTATATCCCTGTGGCTGTTGGGGGAGAAGCAGGGCTGTTAGAGGAGAAGCAGGGGTCACGGACACTGCACAGCTGCGTCCCACTTGACCTCGGATGTGCCAACGAGCATTGTTCTCTGCAATGCTGCATGAGCCACTGGACGCCGCGGGTAGTTGTCCTCCCCCTTAGTTGCAGACAGAGCTTGTCCGAATTGGCGTCGGGGGAGTACAAGTGCATCGGGCCTAGTAGTTACCCTCCTCGACCCGTCATTTGTTTTTAACCCTATAGGTCGCGCTGTTCCCTAGTTCAAGTAGTAGTAGTAGTTGATCGGAGCTTGGATTCTGTGCGGTTTGTCAGCGCCACGCATACCGTACCGAATACGAAGGCATCGACTAAGTCTTGGAGGCAAGCCCCCGTAACAACGGCGATGTGACGGGCGCCATCGGGACTCTTCGCAAGAGCGGCGGGAATTACCATTTTGGGCCCGCAGCGCACGTGGTGCGCATATTTCTCTTGTCCTCCCTCGTCTTCACGCGCCGCGGCTCTCTCTGATTTATTCTTGTTCAGCGTCTTAGCGGCCTCTTCTCGGATCTATGCTTGCATCTGGATCCAGCAGCGGACGAACCCCTCCATCCACGGAATGACGTATCGCCGTATTCTCAGACGCGTCCAAGCCCAATGTTGGCGGGCGAGGCTAGGAGACATGTATACACGACTCTGATTCTCGTGTTTCTCTGGAAATCAGAGGAAACAAGGACAAGTCAGGCTTGGTTGACGAACCACGGTTGGGTAAGCACTGCGTCCTGCTCGGCCCCGCTGTGTATCGGGTCGCTCGTATCCAGAGGTGCCGAGCAGGAGTACTAGTGGTTGCCGCCGCCTGAGGATCCTGCTGCATTGCAGTCCGGCTTCTCAGGCGGGCTGCCGTGTTTGGGATTCGGCTCGCGCTCTACACATACGACTTTTAAAGTCTGGCGCTATTTCACTCCGGAATCGCTCATATGGAATGTCGAATATTGACTGCTCGACTCGGCGTCAGCCTGTGGACAGATACCCGCCCAAAGGACCTCTCGCTCTATACAAATTTGAGTTCTAGCTTTCGACTCTGGGACGGTGATACTGTAGTGGCGATAACCAACGTCAATTAATGGCTGCTCGACCCTGCGTCACTCCGGTTGTGAACAGATACCATCTTCTAGGGTGCTAGCTATTTTAGCACTTATTTTACTCGCGGTTATGAAGGGCTGCGCTGACGAGCCTGCGTATCAACTGTCCACTGTCCCTATATGCGGATCCGCGTCTTCTGAAGGCCCTATATGACCGAACTGTAAAGTCCATCCTATCCTATCCCCCCGTATCGTAGCTCGGTATGTAAGACCCCTTCTCCCTCTCGGGTCTTATCTCTTGTCCCCGGACTCACACCCTCAGACTCTCAGCTATTCGCTGCCCAACGAAAATGAAGCCATCTTCGCCGCATCACAGCTGGCCAATCAATCCGCCTGACAGGCCCAGCCAATCACCGACCCCCACTCGCCGCCCGTTCTAGACCAGCTGTCATATTTCTGTGTCCACCGGTCCAGACTGAGCAGTGCAGCGGCTATCCAAATTATCTCCCATTTGCCGGTGCAGCGAGAAATCAACTGCCCAACAACCGACTTGTTCGAATCCTCTGCACCACCTCGGGAGCGGTGAGTAGCGTCACGCGCGGCGGGATGTCGATGAGCATCTCGCATCTCGAGCTATGGTTACTTCGGGAACGCGGGGAGGACTTCTAGGGAAACTCTAACCACTACCCTTGGGGTGAGTGAACAGTGGTGCAAACCTAAGAAAGTAGGGGTAGCTATTTAGATGGACGGGAGGACATGGGAAGAGGGGTGATGCTTCCAAGGCGTTTGACAAGGCGCCGCCGCTGATTGGCTCCGCATCACAGGTGTACATCTACTGAACGACAGACAGCGAATTACGTTGCATTGCTCGCTTGCTCCGGTATGTGTTCGCATACAACTCTGTACAACTGGTCGCGCCGGATCCCCAAACAGGACGCGAATCTTCCTGATCGTTGTTGACGCGGTCAGCTGGCCTCGAGTACTATACACCGCCGGCTAAGCTCCTTGCGATTCATTCCTCGCTTCCCGTCGGTGCTCGTACGAGTGTCGCAGTCTGAGTTCAAGTCGTTCGCTTGGCGTGAGCGTGAGCGGGGGACATCGATAACGAAGAGCCTATGTAAAAGAAGGTTAGAGGGTAAGAACGAAGAGATGGTTGGCTGGCCGCGAAGTGAGAGAAGCGGCTGTCGGGCGTTGAGTGCCTAATTGGGAATACGCCTGCGATCGTTCCCCCGACACCCCGAAGCCCAGTCTGGACCGCACTGAATTTTCCACTGCTCTCCCTGGCAAGCTTCGTTCATGATCACGAAAAACGTTGAGTGGCTATACCTTGGTCCTCGGAGGCCATAAGCCTCGACCGAAGGTCTCAGTTCCGCTGTCAAAGGCGGAGGGGAAAGCGATAACGTGGCGAGACCCAGGCCCCCGCAGACCGCGCTCCCGGTGTGGGAGCAGGCCTGCTTCGGAATGACGGTGCTCCTGTTACACGGGCGCGCACATGACGAACCCACCCAGCAGGACATGCGCACCTCCCGCATATGTCCTGCGCACCTCTGCTCGCACCAGCATCTCTAGCTAACGGCTTTGAAATACAACTGACAACAAAGCACTCTGCAACAGCAGACAGGAGCGTTACGGAATTAGACATGCCACCAGTGATCACCCTGGCACGAGCGGCGGGTGCGCGTTTACACCGGACGCGCGAGGTGCCGAAAATTGATGGGTCCGAAGGGGGTACGTCCCTTCGTAGCAACCCCAGATTACCCCACTTTCCTATCCTTATTTCCGCACTTTATATTTCGTGACATGCCACCGCCTTACTGATCCCTCTCCCTTCCCCCCTCCCTAGGCTTCATCGGCCTCGTCGTCGGCCTCTGCGTCATCATCGTCATCTGCTGCGCCGCCGTCTTCTACCTTCTCACCTACCACCAGCCCTCGCCCGCCGACCGCGCCCGCCGACGACAGCAACGCTCGTTCCACCACCGCCGCCAGAGTAGTTCCGGCAGTATGCATTCGTTCAAGGAGAAACTCACGGGGCTCTTCACCCGTAGCGGGCAGTCGCCCGCCCCGGCCTTTGGCCTCGCAAAGCGCGGACAGGGATGGGTCCAGGCGGGGTCCGGCGATGAGTGGGAGTCGGACTCGGGGGACGAGAGACAGCCGTCGCGCCGGACGATGAACGACATGGAGAGGGGCAGCACGCGTAGAGATTCGCCCCCGCCAAACCACACTTCCGCCTCCGCATCACACCACCCACCACCAATAGCATCGTCGGAATCATCATCCGCGACCACCGTCGAGCTCGCAGCGCCGACGCCCGTGCGTCCGTTCGCGCAGGTGCACGTGGACCCATTCGCGTCGCGGGGACGCTCCCCGTCGCCGCAGAGCACCGACAGCTTCCAGTCGACGACGTCAAGTCCGACGAGTCCCGTGCGGACGTTCGAGGGCGGCACGAAGTTCAAGGAGCATCTATAGCTGGTTCGTTCCAGGCCGGCCTATGAATGCAGGGACAGGGAGGGCAAAGTCGAGACGATGTGCCGCGGTGCATCAAGCTATTTCGGTCGCGTGCCAATTTAACACCAGACCACCCTCGTTGATCGCGATGTTGTGCTTTTATTTCAGTTTCGTCTCCGATTCAGATGTGGACGGTGCTGCGTTTCTTCATCATCTGTCTATGTGTATGGGTGCTTCAGTATGGGCTTGCATGGTTCAGTGTCGATGCTGTTTGCGGATTCTCTTTCCTATTTATCGCCCCGTATCCCTACATAGGTACACCAGTCACGACGCTAATGACCTCCCGCTGTACTATCTCCCCCTTCTGCTTAGTCCCTCTCGTTTATTGTACAAACCCTGGCAACAATGAAAAGGGGATGTGGCTGGAGGCCGTCCGAAGTATCTGAACGACGGCGATTGGCTGATGGTTGGCGGACGGCCTCATATGGCAAATCCCGCCGCGAGCTCTTCTCATTGGTTGGCGTATACCCGTCCCGGTCGCTGCTGGTGTTCGAACTGCTGACTGAGCTCTTGTTGTTCAGCACTAGTAGCGGCAGGCACGACTGCCTTATTGCCATCGCAACTCTGGACTGCCCGATATTGTGTTCTTTGTGTCCAAACGCTGTATTCTCGGGTTGATCAGTGACTTCAAGAACATGGATTCCGCGTTTCCTGTGACACTGATAGCTTGCGTATGACGACAGGCGACCGGCGTGGTATCCTCGGGATGACGCTCATGAAGGGGCTCGGCTTTGTATGTGCGACTGGCTCTCTTGAAGCTGAAATCTCCCGTGATTTCGTACGGCTGGGAAACTCCTCCCAGCTGTCGCCGCCCCTCGTACGTCTACGTTGTACATGCCTTGCAGTTTGTGCGCGATAGCGTTCCCAGGTGCTCTGTATCCCTTGCAATTTGTATGTCGACGTCCGATACTGCACCGGCCCTGATTAATGATTCTCTGCGGCAGACGCAAGTATCCGCAAGCTCTCCTTACCTGGGCCTGGCTGCGGCAGCGTTCGGAATCTCGGATCCGTTCAAGATCGAGTCGCACGCTTGCTTCTTCCTTTCCTGCCTTCGTGGCATATGCGCCTCTACTGCCCTATCAGTAGGACGCTGGATGGATTTCGCGGCGCGCCCGCACGGCTGACCGATAATCCTTTCCCGCTCGCGCTCCCTCGCGGGGCTGAAATGCCGCACCTTGGCCAGACCAGACGAGAGCTCCGGAGCCGGTGCAGCGCGGTAACTTCGGGGCCGACCCCACCCTGGCCCTGGCGTGCGCATCCACAAGCATGGCCAGCCATACCTTCTCCTTCTGCGAACCTCAGCTGTATCCTCGGGTCGATCTCTTGCGCATGACGGTGAGCAGCGGACGTGGCATCCTCGGGATGACGTCTCTTCGGACGCACTCGGACCTCGTATATGCGACTAGTTTGGCAGGCAGGCTTCCTCGCACCGCCGTGGTCTCGCTGCGTTGAGGGGCTGGTTCTGGTCTTTGCTAGCTAGATGGTGTCGGTCGAGGTTCTTGATTCCGCGGCAGTTCTGACACCCTGACTTCCGACTTTCATCCATTACTGTCTAGTTATCTCCGGCTGGGATCATCGCGTCCGAGACGGGTGAGTCACCTATCGCTGAATCCCGGAGGAACCGTTGTCCGCCCATTCGCGACCGTGGTTGTCTATACATATCGGTACCTAGATGTCCTGTGGATCCTGATAATACGGGGAATCGCTCCTGCACGAGCTACAGCTTCCGGGAGTCTTCCTGGATGACACGCTTCGTGATCGACTATTCCTGGCTAGGAGGCACTCGGTAGTGTGGTACTGCTAGACATGGCTTGGATGTGCGGAATGACAGTGGTCATTCATCAGCCACAGGCGATGTTTAGTGGCGACCATGCGTCCGAGCCACCTTGCTCGTCGAGGAGCAACATTTTTGGCCGTAGAACCTGCCGCGACTCCCGACTCTGGGAGCTCCATGCGACATGATGACTTACTGGCCAATGAGCGCTGAAGCTCATTCCGACCCGCACTACATCAAGCTTCCACCCAATGTAACTACGACGGTTCATGTACTCTCGACTTCGGTGCTGCGCAGGTGATTGCCTTTCATTTCCGCAGTTCAATTATGGTTTCTATTCATTTCCAGCTCGATCGCTCTTCCTGATGTGCTGAGTGACACGTCGAGTCGGGCGCAGTGAAGATTTCGACTGTGAAGAACTCTTTCAGCGACATTCGCTCCATGTTGCACGAGTTTCGTCGCGTGCATCCAGGACGAGGTCCCTGCGCACTGGCAGTACTCTGGAAGGCATCCAACCGGAACGCAAACCAACCTCAAAAGATATTTCTGGCGATGGATTCTGACGTGAGCGTGCACTGGTAGAGCTCGACTACCGGGATCTGCACGCGCTGTTCAGCTAATATTTGTTCGAAGTTGACTACGTGCCTATAGGCACTCGTCCTAGGTGGTTGTTCGCCGCGGAAGGGAAGCCACTAACCCTCCTGTACTCCTGGTCCCTTTGGATCGGCTCCCTCAGGCTCAGCGTCGCTCACGCGACTCGATCTTCTGCCAGATCCTGTCGAGCTTCCCGCCTCGAGGCCGCCAGGGCATTTCGGTCTTGTGCAGGGATCGACGGGATGGAAACAGAACGGTGCTTCAAGGTCACGTGATGATCGTGTTCTTTCTTCTGGTGGCTGAAGTGTACGCTGCGCTCTTTTAGCTGTTCGCTGCATCACTAAAGGCGCCATGTCCCTCCCGTCCTGTGGTCCAATCATAGTACGCATGTGTCGGTAATTTTTGATAACGTGTTCCATTCACCCCAGGTCGTTGTGTCTGGTCCCCGGGGCTATTTTCAGGCTCCAGGGCGTCAGATTATGCTATCTCCGGGTAGGCCAGCTAGATAAAAACCTAGCTTCTGTGTATGGCACACTAGGGAGGAATATTTCACCCGCTCATCCCCCGCCCGTCGCGTCTGTAGCTCGCGATGGACCCCTCGGCGACGCCGGATTTGTCTGAGGACGTGGTTACTCCAACGTACGGCGAAACGCTACCGGCCTCTCGAGTTGCTTTTCCAGATGCTGTCGAAGACGTCAACGAAGAGAAACGCACCGGGCCGCTGCGGCCCAAGGGTGTGGAAATGAAAAGGGAGCTGACGAAGGAGGATAAAGAGCTCGCTGCCGCTGGATACGAGCACCTTCACGAGGAAAAAGGCAAGAAAGTTGGCGCCGAGGCAAATGTACAAAGCGTTGATATTTCTGAACACCGGCTTGCGTTCGACGAGCTTGGTGACGCGCTCGGGACGGTGGTTGATGGCAAGGAGCCGGAGCATTCGCGAGGGTTGACGGCGGAGGAGGCGAAGACGAGGTTGGCTCAAGATGGACCTAACATCCTTACCCCGCCCAAGAAGAAGTCTGCGTTCCGCAAGGTAGGGTCCCCTTGCAATGCTGCACTTCGTACTCATACCGTTGTAGTATATGGATTGCTTATTGACCATGTTCAACATCCTGCTTATCATCGCCGGTATCCTTGAGTATATCCTGCTCGGCATTGACTACAAGGTACACCTACAGAATGCTCAGTGTATGCTCGTGACTCATGCTCTTTCTAGGATAACTTCCAGAACACGTACTTGGGCGGTATATTGATTGCAGTTGCCTTTCTCAATGCGTTCATCGAGTTCTACCAGCTTCAAAAGTCTGAGGCCATACTTGCTTCCTTCCTGGCCATGATTCCGCCCTCCTGTCGAGTCGTTCGCGACGGGACCCTGACTTCGATACCAGCAGCGAACCTCGTTAAAGGCGATATTGTCTTACTTGTGAGTCGTGATGTTGTGCCGCGCCACTCGCGATTTCTAACATGGAAGTATAGCGTACTGGTGATAAGACGCCGGCGGATCTGGTGATATTTGGGTCGACGGACTTGAAGGTGGACAACAGTAACTTGACTGGAGAGTCGGAACCACAAGAACGTCGGCCTATGCCTGATGGGTCGCGTCTTTCACCGGTCGAGGCCGAGAACTTGGTAAGAACAGGAGCTCACCCGGCGACGAGACTTGCTTACATGAGAGACTTTCAGGTATTCAATTCTACCCTGGTCGTCAATGGGGAAGGCTGGGGAGGTACGTCATGCCATTGAATAATATTTCCTTGCTTCACCATTTGCGAACAGTTGTCGCACGGACCGGAGATCATACTTTCATCGGTCTGTGCATCCCCTCGCTCCGCCCAGTCGAACCTTACTATATCCTACTGCAGGTCAAATTGCGGCCTTAACTAGCGGTGAGACTGACAACAAGAGCCCCCTCTCCGTCGAGATGTGAGTCCAGATAGGGTTCCTCAGTCGCCCGTCTGACATCTATGTCTGCAGAGCACGCTTCGTCATGATGGTCTCGACGATTGCCATTGTCTTCGCTGTCGTATTTTTCGTCGTCGGTATCACGACAGTCTACAAAGGCAAGGCTTCTCAGACTGTGACCTTCGCGGTGTCTATCTTGGTGGCGTTCGTACCAGAGGGGCTTCCTTCCGTTGTCACCCTTCTGTGAGTGATCCCTCGGCGTAGTGAGTGCAGCTTCTCACACCTTACAGGTTATCCATTGCTGCAAAGCGTATGGCGGCCCAGAACGTCCTGGTAAAGGATCTCCAGGGTGTTGAAACATTGGGTGCGGAAATAAGTTCTTGATATAGCCTTCAGGCTGTCGCTGATACCCCTGGTCTGATGGTAGGCTCGGTGAGTACCTTCCGATTTGACCTCAACTGCAGTGACTTATCTTGTGTCTCAGCTGACGTTACTGGCGACGGACAAAACTGGTACGCTTACCAGGAACCAAATGACCGTAACCAACCTTTGGAGCGGTCAACACATGTATACGGCCTTCCAAGTAAGTATCTCCCATGATTCTGCTCTCTCACTGCTTACTATCACACGTCTAGTCGAACAACGACGAGGCCGAGACCGAGAGCTTCTCTTTCGATAAGCCCGGCATGTCGGAGCTAGTCAGCAACGCTTCTCTTAACTCGCGGATCAAATTCGATCGCACCGATGTCCCCTTCGGTGAACGGACTATCTTGGGAGATGCGACCGAAACGGGACTCATTCGATTCGCCGGCCGGTATCTGGTTGACTTTGATGACTACGTGAAGAGACATCCGAAAGTCTTTGAGGTTCCGTTCAACTCCACCAATAAATGGGCGCTAGTCATTGTACGTGTCGCTTTAGTCTGTAGGCATATTACCTCACGTCCTCCAGGTCAATAAAACCCATGCAGAAGGACCTCTAACATTGTATATCAAAGGAGCGCCAGAGCGTGTGCTAGCCAAATGCTCCACATATCTGAAGGACGGTAAAGCCGAACCCGTTACGGAGGATTTCAAAGCAGCATATGACTCCGCCTACAACGTGGGTCCTCAGTCAATTTGGCAGGCAGGAACTAACCAGTCAACAGTACATGGCATCCAGAGGCCATCGTGTCATAGCTTGCGCACAACTGCTGCTTCCAAAGGCGCACTACCCAGCTGACTATGCATTCTCGAGGACGGACGTCAACTATCCAAGTTCGGATTACTGTTTCACCGGATTGATCTCTCTGGAGGATCCCCCCAAGCACGGTGTTCGTGAGGCCATCGGGACTCTCCGTCTGGCCGGGATCAAGGTTATGATGGTGACAGGTGCGCACTGTTCGCACACAGTTTCCATGAATCTGCCCGCTGAAGCAAGTCGTAGGTGATCATCCCAAGACCGCGGAAGCCATCGCGCGGAAGATCAACCTCATCCTTGGCGACACTAGAGAATCGCTGAGCGTCAAAACCGGACGACCAATCGAAGAAATATACGAAGATGAAGTATCCGCGGTGGTGGTTCATGGCGACGATATTGACGGGTTGCAAGGGTGGCAATGGGATCAAAGTATGCGTCTGACCTTTCGCTGAATAGCGAAACGGCTGATTAAATGAGGGCTGCAGTCTTCAGTAAAGACGAAATCGTTTTCGCCAGGACATCACCCAAGCACAAGCTGGAGATCGGTGAGTCTATCATATCGTGGGTGGAATGGCAAGTTCATAGCCGGTTGTAGTCAAACATGCCCAAGCTCTCGGCCACATTGTCGGCGTGTAGGTCTCCGCTGAATTGGCCTTGTACCGCGCTGACTCCTTGTAGTACTGGTGATGGAGTCAACGACTCCCCTGCGCTCAAGAAGGCGGATCTGGGAATTGCTATGAACATATCTGGGTCGGACGTGTCGAAGGAAGCCGCAAACATGATTCTGCTAGGTGAGTCCCGCTTAGTCCGACCTGGCGAGACACGACGGCTGATTGTGCGCAAGACGACAATTTTGCATCGACCGTCAGTGAGTAGATAACGAAAGGTGTATCTTGACGGAGCTTGACCCGCGATCAGAGGGTGTCGCCGAAGGACGTCAGATCTTTGTCAATCTCAAACGGTCCATCCAGTGCGTCTACTAGTTTTCGAGCGTCTTCCTTGAATTGACACTCTCGGAGATATACCATTTCGCATAGTACCCCGGAGGTCATACCCCAGCTTCTTTGTACGTGTTCTGTATGCCCGGCATAGAGCTACGCCCGTTAATTTCGCCATGTGTGCAGACGTTGTTGTTCCCATCCCACTTCCCCTTTCTGCCATCCTGATATTGGTCATCGGTAAGCCCAGTCATTCTCCGCAGCGAATGCGTCCATTCACCATGCTGCCAGATCTCGGCTTCGAGCTATTCGTTGCTGTAAGTCGCCTCGCATTGACAAGAGTCCCGTCGCGCATTCTCACTGTCCTGCTCCTCAGCTCTCCTTCGCATGGGACAAACCGGAGACCGCCGACGGCCTGATGCGCATGCCGCCGCGCAAGCCCGTCAGCGACAGCTCCATCAAGCTGATCAAGAAGCGCGCGCTGCGGCGGACGAAGACGCTCCGGCGCGACCCCGAAACACAAGAAATCATCCGCCCCAGCCGCTGGTCTTTGTTCTGGGGCCATTGCAAGGCGCCTTTTACACGGGACTTTTGGGAGGATAAGATGGAGTCGACGGAGGCGGAGTCGTTGGTGGACAAGAAGCTGTTGAGCTATGCGTATTTGGAGGCGGGGGTGATCGAGATGCTTGGCGGGTGAGTTTGGTTTTCAGTTTGAAGGAACGATGAGTGATAGGCTGCCAGACTCGTGGCGTACTTTGTGGTGTTTTGGAAAGCGGGGTTCTCTCCGAGCGATTTGCGGAGAGCGCAGGCTGCGAGCAGTAATGGAACCAGTAAGTTGTACTTGCGCTCTATGCTCCAGTGATAATTAATACTGCTTATTGTCCAGCATACTTCTTAAAGTCCAGTCCGCCGTTTGTCAACTACCGAGGACAGACACTTGATGCAGCAACACAAGTCGATGCCTTGGGACAGGCCCAATCGATAGGTACGGCTAATGGAGATCCGCTCTGGATTCTCGGTGTCTGACACACTTGTGCCCTAGTATACCTATCTGTCTTCATCATCCAATGCTTCAACGTACGTCCCTCTATTACACCAAAACACCACAGCTAACGCCCCTTCCACAGGTCTTCGCCGTCAAAGCCAAATTCAAGTTCCCGTTCGGCAAGAACGCGGTCGCGAACTACTACAACTTCCTGGGCATCCTCGCGGGCGCGTGCCTGGGCGTGTTCATCGTGTACACCCCGCCTTTGCACGTCGTCTTTGGGGGCTCGTATCACCTCTCGCCGCTCTACTGGCTGATTCCGATCGCGTTCGGCTGCATGTTGCTGGTGTGGGCGTCGGTGAGGGTGCTGCTGATGCGGAAGGGTTTGCGGCAGGCGCGGGTGAAGGATATCAAGGGGCTGATGATGTGTGAGTTTGGTTTTGTTTGTTGTTGTTCTAGTATTCGAGAATGTTAATCTCCGTCTTTCATTTACAGTCCCTACCATGCGGACGATGAGCATGAGGTCCCGGCATTAGACATACGGAATACCCGCTTTAGGATCAGAATACGTATGGTTGTCAGATAGTCTATTATTGTTTATGCTAGAGTCGGAAGAGATACGATCTGGTGAACGACTCGTGGTAACGCAGCGCGAGCGAGGAGAACGTCATGAGTGGCTCCCGCGCCATCACCCAAGCCCCGGACAGGACGGGGACGGCGGCGAGCAAGGCGGCGAGCCTACGCGCCCTGGCGCTCCAGCGCTTCCGATTCTTGACGAGCGTGCTGAGTATGATGTTCATCCCCTCAGCGGCGTGCACGGCGACGCCCGCAACGAGGCCGGTGTACAAAATCCAGCTGCGCCACGGCCACGTCTGCAGGCCGACCTTGACGAACTCGTAGTCGAGCTCGGCCGGGCCGACGGCGTACACGGGGGGTCCAGAGTACGTCGGGTTGAGGCGGTGCGTGACGAAGTGGGCGGGGAGGAAGACGAAGAGCGTGGCGTACCCCGTGAGCGCGAGCGCGCTCGCGAGCGGGCGCGCGCGGCGCGGGGCGAGGAGGCGCTTCGTGGCGGCGGTGGCTGCGTGCACCGCAATCGGGCCGAGCACGAGCGCGGCCTCGCCGAGGGGCGTCTGGTAGTATTCCCTGCCCAGAAGCTGGTGCGCAGAACGCGACTAGATTAACTGCCAAGATACCGAAACGGACGGAGGAAGAGGGGGGGGCGCACCATGACCTGCGAGGCGAGGGAAGACCCGCCGAGGTTCGCGAGGAGCGGCGCGGTGAGATGGATGGCGAGGAAGGTGCCGATGAACGCGCTCGAGCCCTGCGCGGCGCGCGTGAGCCACGGGAGGGCGGCGGCGCGCCAGGGTCTGGGAGACTGGGGCGAGCCCGCGTCACGGTTACCCGGGGTCGACATGATAATGATAATTAGGATTTAACGGTACTGTAAATGCAGGGATAAATTGCGATTGCGTCGATAGAGCGATCGCTTCCGCTGGTTCGAGATCACGAAGCGAAGGCGAAGGCGGAAGCTGCGACTTCTGAATCCAGAAAACGAACGGTGGACGAGTGGGTCCCAGGAATTCGAACACTGCAGTGGAAGCGAGCAAGCCAATCACGTGCGCCCTCTTCGCCGCCGCCCCGCCGGTGCGCGCTTTCCTCCCCACCGCGCCGTGGCTGCCAATGTCGGGCAAGGTGGTGAGTTTCTGTGGTACCGCGTGCTAACAAGCTTCAAGCTTCAAGCTACAAACGTCTTTGTCGATGCAGACCGAGATAGAGTTGTCGGCCTCAGGGTCGACGTCGATGTCGAGGGCCGGCGGATGCGGCGCTCGGTACCGTCGTCGGTCAAGAAAACCCCATTCCAATTCTAATTCAAAAAGAAAGGCTAGCAATACAGGAAGAGCGAATCGCATGCTACTATACATTGCTTTGCGTCAGCCGTCGAAACAAGTAATACCAACTTGAACTTCCAAGATAACCAATAGGCCTGGGGCTGCGCTGCAGCGCTGGCTGAATTCGTGACAGAGATCGTGATATATACGCACAGGTAGTGACAGAGTCGTCGCCAAGTGTGGACGGATGAATCGTGCTGAACGTCGAAGGGGCCGGCCCAGGTGAGTACATACTTGTTGCGCCGGGTACGCTCACGCCATAGGCAGCTGCGCCGCGCGGAACCCCAGCTCGTCGATCCCTGCGCTGGTGGCCGCGTTGCTCGCAAAGTCCGGCCCGGGCTCGACCCAGATCATGGACGACCTGTGCCGCAGCGGCCGCGCGAGGCGCGCGAACTCCTCCTCGGGCGACTCCCCGTACGAGGCCTGGATGTACGTGTCGAACAGGCTTTGCTCCCACTGCTCGTGTCCGCCGGTGTGGACGAGCGCGGAGAAGAGCTCGTGCGAGTCCGCCGCGGCGGGGAGCAGGCTGGGGGCCGTCGGGACGTCTGGGTGCGTGCACTGTCAGCTCGGGTCCGTCCATGTCCTGCCGGAGGGGAAGGCTCACCTGGTGCGTGTGTCGCTGTGTCCGCGGGGTTGCCGAAGTCCATGTATGGTTGGTACGACGCAGCGTCTTGGGGATGGTTGTACTGCTTCGCCGGCTCGTACTGTTCGTGCGGGAGATGCCAGGCGTCCTAGTGGTAGGGAGCGCGGTGAGCATCCCGCTGCCTCACTCGGGAGCAACGCTGACTTACATCGCTAGGAGAAGCGGCTATGGCCGGGTACGAGTACCCCTGCGTGGCAGGATACCCCGCGAGGGTCGCCTGCGGCTGGAAATACGCCTGCGGGTACGACTGCGACGGCACGATGACGGGCGACTGCGGCGGGTGCCGCAGCTCGGGCGAGCTCGCCGGCGTGGGCGTCGCGGGCTCGGGCGACGACGCCTCCGTGACGCTCGCGGCGCTGCTCGTGCTGCCACTCCTCCTCCTCCTCGCCACGAGCTGCACGACGCCCCGCGCCGCCTGGCGCTTGCGGTCGGGGCGGTAGCGGTAGTCGGGGTACTTGCGCTCGTGCTCCTCCTTCTCGCGGGCGGCGAGCGCGCGGTAGTGCGCGCGGCGCGGCGGCGGGAGGCGGCGCCACGCCTCGGCGGCGCGCAGGGAGAGCGACTTTGTGGTGATGGGCGCGGCGCCGTGCGCGGCGTGCGCCCGGGCGTATTCGCAGCGGAAGATGATGAACTCGTTGCGCGGGCGCGGGATGCGCGGGCGGGGCGAGGGGGAGGGCGCGGGGGAGGCTGAGGAGGCGTCGGAGTGCTGCGCGGGCTGGGGATTAGCCACAAAGCTGCGGGGGCGGGAAGCGGGCCACTTACGGTGTCGAGGTATTGGTCGGGGCTGAGGGGGAAGACGACGACTTCGTCGACGGTATCATCGTCGGGCTCCCAGCCCAGGACGCGCGGGGTATACGAGTAGGTGTGCGCAGACATGGTAAGGTCGAGGGGGGGTGGAGGCAGTGGCACCTGTTTATTCATTTTATAGCGTTCTTTTATCTAAGCAGCAGCCACTCGCAGTCTTTCTAGGCCCAGCGCGCGCTGTGGCGCGCCGGTAGATTTGGGGGGGCGTGCTATTGTCGGGCTCTGGCCGGTAACTAAACTGACTATCCGCCGGTGATTTGAGGGCATCAGACGGCCCGATCCACGCTACCCGACCCGATCACGATCGAGATGGGCCCCAATCGGGCAACACGGGCTCCTCCGCCGGGATCCCAACGCTCTCCTGGCCGCGCTTCTCTATACCGAACGCCAGCGGGGCCGCTTCGGGCAGGACTCTCTCAAGGCAGGATCAGCGGTTTCCTTCTGTTTTGTTCGTGCAGGGCGCGGTCACGAGGCGGGTGCCCCTGCGCGCGTGGACGGGTGCGGCATATATCCCGCCGATCTGCTATATATTCCTGTTAGGGGAGGCTGACCGAGATCGGGCCACGCGTCCCACGTTTCGAGCAGGAGGGGGACTCAATTGGATGCGCTCACGCCATCGGGCCACGTTGTCCAGACGCTGCCACGTTATCCGGCCAGCCACGAACGCGGCGCACTTGAAACGGCGTCCTGACTGCGACCCGGTGACAAAAGACATTGCTCGCTGGAATTGAGATGCGGATCGCGGGCATCCATTAAGCATGGTCCCCGGGGGCGGACCCCGATTCGCGACGCCAGCCACCCCGATTTCGCATCATCACCTGCACTGTTGTCGCTAATCACCAGCACTAGCATCCGCCGCGTCAGTCGTCGGCGATACTTTAACAGCTTTGGGTCATAGCGAACACTCCACCCAAGCCAGCGCATGCGTTATTGGCGCCGTCGTGTAATTGCAAGCCACGGAACGCCTCCGCCCTCTCCACGTCGCACCTTCCCCCCCTCCCCCTGTCCCTCACCAACGTAAGATCGAGCCCCCTGATCCTTTTATCCTCCCTCGCTCTTATTCGGCTTGTACTCTACTCCTATTAGGGCGTCTCAGCAGTCCAAACCTAAATACTCGGCCACAGTCGTGGGTCGGTCTGAGAGACAATTCAGCGAGGATTAGCTTCGTCTGGCGTAGCAACCGTCGCTAGCTTATCTATCGCGTCTCATTCGTCAGGCGGGGCCAGCGCGGTCTCATCTGCGCAGACAATAATTGGGTCGCCGGTGCTGTGTGCGTATTTGGCGCGTGGCTGAGCTCCCCGTCCCCCCTCTCTTCTCTCCTATCGTAGCTTCGGGACCGCGCTGGGTCATGCGTGTGTGTGTGCCTTCGCGCAGCGGTTTACCTTTGGCTGGAACGGCCTACCGTGCCTATAGGAGCGGCAACTATCCGCTCGGAAAATACCATGAGGGAATGAACTAGTCCCCACGAATAACAGCCCTGTATCTCATTTCTCCATCCATCCTCGGCACGCTAGCACAGACAATAATCGTCCCCATTATCCCCCACCAAACCCGCGAACCTGTGGAGGGGCGACCCGATGCTTATCTAGATAACCGCCCGATGCGAACGAGATCGCCCGAGTGCCCGAGTGCGCATGCCATTTGGAGGTACTGTGGCCCTGCAGTTTGGCTCCATGCGTTGTCTGCCTGACAATTGGGCGATACGGCGTGAGGATGACACAGAGACAGGCTCAGTGCGCAGACCAAGTACGATCGTTGTGCTTCCTTCAGGTTCATACCTTACTTTGCAGAAACATATGGCGATTGCTCTAATGTCAGACGGAACAATGCCAATGCCAGTGCCATCCTGCCACCCAGTCCGTATTCTACAGCTTTAATCCACACATACGCAGCGTCGAGGAGAACGGATCCCGCGAAGAGAGGGGGGCAGTAGCTGGTGGGACCCGGACATGTCGACGCCGAAGTGCGTGCCACAGACGAACACAGGCATTTTTATCCAGAGAAGAAGGACATACACACTCCGGTGAAGCTTCGAAGACACCCAATCAGTCCGAGCTTGTGCTTACGCCGGCTCGTATGTATCACAGCCACAGCCACAGGACCGCTCGTAGCTCAAGAACGCACACAGTTTACTTGTCCCGTCTCGAGTCCCGTGCGCATACGACCGGTTGTCGATGCTCGCAAGGACCCACTGGCAGCGCTTGATTTGGCTGGGAGGCACCTTGCTACGGTCGTGCGACCGTGTTGACTGTGTGCTCTGCCAACGACGCAAGCGATGCAGATACTCGGCCGAGGGAAGCTGTTCGCGATGACGAGCCGCCCATTTGCGTGCGCGGGGACAAGCGAGGCAGTGTCCCTATGTTGGGGATACTGATACCTTCTGAGTTTCAACCTGTGCGGAAGACTCGGGATGTCTTGCCGTGAGATTCTCGTCGTGGCGGACTTCCCGCGATCACTCACGACCTTGCAGCGAGTGGAACTTTCATGCGTTGCAAGGTCGTGAGTCATCGATCTGGGTTGCATGACTTTGACATTGACATTCCCGTGGAGGGTCGGCGTCAGCTACAGATGCCTAGAGACGATCTGCCAACGCGTCAACGTTGTGTCAGTGACTATGACCACAGAAGACGTCCGTGCTAACAGCCTATACGATCATGTGTTGTGCTCGGGTCGTGAGTCAACCTCGATGTACGTATGGATCCGTGGCAGGATGTCACTTTCGGGACGGACGTGAGAGCCCCGCTGCGGGAGATCCGTATCTCGTCAGTATCCCAGCAGTGATTATAGGTAATTGTGGGTCCCGCCTTTTATGACTCCTGCTTACCGACGGCCCCGTCCACCCTCATGTCCTGCATGAGGTCGGTCCAAATGGTATATGAATCAGGTGAGAAAAATCAAACGAGCCATCGACGACTATCCCACTTTTCGACACTCTACCCTCCATTGCACCACCCCTGGTCGAGTGCCATGCCTGATCTCTCCGGCGAGCATCTAGCAGCGCTGAGAAGCGTGATAGTGGACAAGCCGCCTTACTGCAGCGGCGTATGCCCTGTAGCTCCCGACCACTTCCATCTCTTCTATAGCACGAATGGCGATGAAGCTAGGTGAGAGCGCCAGACCCTTTTAGCTCAGAACATCGCCTTACGGGTGCCCATTGCGCGGGCATAGACGCATTGACATGTCCAAGGCTACTGAAGACGAAATAAAGCTGCTCGCGGACGTATGCAGCCCCGCTACCTTCGGCCGTAACAACGAAGACATTCTAGACGAGTCGTACCGGAAAGCCTGGAAGCTCGACAGGAGCAACTTCGGCTTGACGTTCCATCCGTTGGATCACGACGGTCTCGTCAAAGTGCTCCGTTCCGAGCTTCTTGAGGGCCACGACGAGAAGAAGCCTATCAAGGCAGAACTTTACAAGTTGAACATATACGGTCAGTCGAATCATCTCGTCAAGCGATGTTGTCTGGACCGCTACTGACGCTCACTCCCCTAGGTCCGGGCTCGTTCTTCAAGGCTCACAAGGATACACCCAGAGCAGAGAATATGTTCGGGTCTTTGGTCGTGGTCTATCCGACTCCCCACGAAGGTGGCGCTCTCGTCCTTCGCCATGGAGAACAAGAGTGGAAGTTCGACTCCGGAGAAATCCTAGGCGCCCAGGGTGAGCCTCGCTTGGCCTACGCTGCATTCTACGGCGACGTCGAGCACGAAGTCGCCCCCGTCGAGTCGGGATATCGTGTCACCTTGACCTACAACCTCTATTTCGCCGACACCGCGGACGCGGAGCCTTCAGACGCCAGTCTTTCGGTGTCGAAAACCCTTCAAGAGACGAAGTTCAGGGAGATGATGCAGAGACTCCTGGACGATCCGACGTTCTTGCCGGAAGGAGGGAGCCTTGGCTTCGGCTTGAAATACCAATATCCAGTCGAGAATGGGAAAGACAAGTACTGGGACATACCTGCGAAGTCGGTTTCCGTGGCACAGCGCTGCCTGAAGGGTAGCGACGCTGTGATCTCAAAGGTCGCCCAGGAGCTGTCGTTGCCGACGTCAGTCAAGGTCCTCTACTTGAGTGACGACGACTCGTGGACCCCCACTGTCTTGCAGGACAACTTCCAGCCCATAGGCGACTGGATGACGGAGGAAGCCTTGCAATGGAACCTTCTTAGCGACGGTGGAGGGAAGATCCTCCAGTCCGTGCATAACGAGGAAGACGCCGAGGGTCGCGACTTGCACGACGCGTACTTGAAGTTCCCGAAGGAGAAGGTATATTGGGTGACGGATTGGACCGAGTATAATAAGTTTGCGGACCCGTATATGACGTACGGGAACGAGAGCGAGCTTGCGTGGGCTTATGGAAACCTATGCCTCATCGTCCGTGTCGAGCGATATGGGGAGGGGAATAGAGTGGCCATTCAGGCCGGGACGTCGGATACTGGGAAGAAGACCGGTCGGGGCAGGGCTCGTGGCAGGGCTCGGGGTAGGGCTCGTAAGGCGCGGGGCTAGCAATACGGTCCGGCAAACCTATCTGTATGTGGTGACTATGAAGAGAAGCCCTTCGAGTCATCGAGTGAGAGGGGTGAGCTATAACTATAACACGTACAGATTATCTTCCGCAGGTGTAGTATACGCACAGGGTTAGCACTGAGTATTCGATCGCGGTTCTAGAATCACGGTTGCAAAATTGGAGGCTCATTGGGAGTCTATCCGATCACTGGCATGTACTTGGACGCATCACGAGTCATCCTCGGTTGAAGTACATTCTGTATATCAGTTCGTGGCATAAGTATCCGTGATCGTAAACGCGTACCTTCAAGTTCTCTCACAATTCACAACTGAATATAACTCAATACGTTGAAGGGGATCCCAATCGAAAAGGATAGGAGTTCAAGGGTAATCGCTTCGTTCGAGCCGCTGTCTCTGGTTACTGCTCCGTCTGCACCTATTTGCGTGTTAATAATCACGAACCACTCCATCGTTCCAGGATAGAACGGATCTCGTCCTCCCATAGGGAAATACAGGATGACTCGCCGACCCCCCGCCCTTACCGTACGTCTCTTTCGGTCCCGGACCTTGGGAGAGAGGGGTAAATACCGTTTCCGGCCAACCGAGCTGGGCACTATGCCACTATACTTTAGAGGTAATTGTGGGTCCCACCTTCACTGACTCCTCTCCCAAGGTACCGATCCGCCTCATGTCGCACATGAGGACGGTTCCTCCCGCATAATGACCAGCCGAACAGGCTCAAGACGGTTGTTGTCCCGGGCCTTCTATTACCCCACGCTACTCTGCATTTTCTAGCGAGTATCATGCCTGACCTTTCTGGCGAACATCTGGCAGCACTGCGAAATGTCATCGTGGACAAGCCACCCTACTGCAGCGGGGTATGCCCCTGTTGCCTCCGACCACTTCCAGCTCTTTTACCGCTCAAACGGCGAAGACGCCAGGTGAGACTGCGATCTAAGTATACACCCCCATTCTCACCGGAACCCTGTGGAATGGGCACAGATGCATCGACCTATCCACAGCAACTGAAGACAAAGTGAAGCAGCTCGCAGATGTCTGCAGCCCGGCTACCTTCGGCCGCAACGACGAAGACGTCCTCGACGAGTCGTACCGGAGGGCGTGGAAGCTCGACAGGAGCAATTTCGCCACGAATTTCTCCCCGCTGGATCACGAAGTCATTGTCAATGCTCTCCGTTCCGAACTCCTGGAGGGCTACGACGAGAAGAAGCCAGTCAGAGCTGAACTCTACAAGCTCAACATCTACGGTCAGCGATGCATGCGCAACATCCCGTAGAAGCACTGTGCTAACGCACACCTATTCAGGCCCCGGCTCATTCTTCAAAGCCCACAAGGACACGCCTCGCGCGGAAAACATGTTCGGCTCGCTCGTCGTCGTGTATCCGACACCCACACGGGCGGTGCTCTCATTCTTCGCCACAGAAGCCAGGAGTGGACGTTCGACTCGGGCGCGATCCTCGCGTCGCACACCGAGCCGCGCCTGGCCTACGCGGCGTTCTACGGAGACGTCGAGCACGAAGTCGCCCCTGTCGAGTCGGGGTATCGCGTCACCTTGACGTACAACCTCTATTTCGCCAGCCTCGAAGACGCCGCGGAGCCTGCGCTCTCGGCGTCGAAAACTCTCCACGAGACCAAGTTCCGGGAGGTGCTCCAGAGGCTCCTGGACGACCCGACGTTCTTGCCGGAGGGCGGCAGCATCGGGTTCGGCCTGAGGTACCAATATCCGGTCGAGAAGCGGAAAGAACAAAATCCGCTCTTGCCATACAAGTCACTTTCCGTCGCGCAACAATGTCTCAAGGGCAGCGACGCCGTCATAATGGCCGTCGCGCGGGAGCTGACGCTGGCAGCGTCGCTCAGGGTCCTTTATCAACCGGATGAGCGCGAGCACGCCTTCCGCTCTTGGCCTGAGCCGCTCGTCATGAAAGGCAACTTCGAGCAGCTCTGGTCTTGGAGCCCGTGCGACGACCCGCTCCCGTATCTCCTCCTCGCCACCGATAAGAAAGGAGCGAGAATCGTCCAGTCCAGGTATAGTGAGGAGGACGATGGTAGCAAGGATTTCGATCACTTTTCGTACGACAGATTCCGGCGGGAGAAGATCTATTGGGTGACGGATTGGAGCGAGTATAACAAGTTCGCGGACCCGTACCTGGCGTACGGGAACCAGAGTTCGCTCGGGTTTGCGTACGGTAACTTGTGCCTCCTTGTGCGCATCGGGCCACACGGCGAGAGGAGCAATGTGTCAGTGTCGCACAGTAAAGGGAAGGCTGGCCAGTAAGGCACGGTTAGAGTAGGGCTTGGTCGCCTCTCACATGCAAAATAATGAATGAGACCTGTTCAAAAACAGACTTTCTGAGTTCAGAATTAGACATAGGCCTGGCCTCTTTGCGAAACAGGCAGCGTGTTTCAACCAGATGACAGGAACACTTACTGCATGTCGTAGGGCGGCTGAGCTAGTTTGTGGCAAGGTCCCGCTGCTACAGCCACAGGCCTGTGGCTTAGCCTCCCCACACTTGTACCGTTACAACACTCCTGGCTACTGCCAACAGCACTCATTCTGACGGACATCCTGCTACGGAAGCACTCAGGTGCAATGAGCACCGTCCCCGACGTCTTCGCCCCCATCTCCACCGACATCCCGCTCTTCGATGTCTACACCAGCCACCCCGTCCGCCCGAAGTCGCTCAAGGTCGACGACGCAACGCCTCTGCAGACGAACAAGTTCTACGCGAACCTCTTCCTCGGGTCGCAGAGCCAGCCGGTGTGGCTGCACCCGTTCAGCGTCTGGTGGAGCAAGGGCGACGCGGGCGTGCTGCGCAGCTGGGGCCTGAGCGTCTCGCACGTCGACCGGGACCAGAAGGTGTGCATCGTCGTCACTGTCGGCTCCTGGATAAGCACATACTGTAGCTGTGCGATACCACTCGTATAGGCGTACGGGCCCGACCCCTCCGCGGACCCGGTGCAGTACTACATCAACCCGGTGGGCGTCCAGTCGTTCACCTTCTCCGCCGCCGAGTTTGCCCCCGCGCGCTCGTACATCTCGCTCGCCGAGCCGACGCAGTTCTCCGTCTTCCTCAACCTCCACCTGGGCCCCGGGCAGCACAAGCAACGCATCACCTTCCCGCTCGTGCAGGGCAGCGGGTTCATCACGGGCGTGTACACCGAGCTCACGCCCAAATTCGAAAGCGGCGTGTTCTTCCGGCATGTGCGCCAGGAGAAGCACCCCGCGCCCGGGCTGCTCAAGTGGAGGATCATACTCGAAGACGGAAAGACGTGGCTCCTCTACGCGCACAGCACGACCGGGCAGGGCCTCACACTCCAGCTCGTCAACAACTCCTGCCTCCTCGCCTCCGCCCCCTTCACCGGCGTCGTCCAGCTCACCAAGCTCCCCGCCTCCGCCCCGCAGCTCGAAAGCCTCGCCGACGCCTCCACCGGCGCATTCCCCACCGGGCTCTCCCTCGCCGGCTCTGTCAGCCGCGCCGTGGGTACCTACAGCTTCACCTTCCACAAAGCCGGCGCGGCGGCGGCGGCGGCGCCCCTCCTGATGTACTGCCTCCCGCACCACCTGCAGTCCTTCGACGCCGCCACCGCTGCGCGCGCGCACCCGCGCGCGGGGCTGCCGTCCACGACCAAGGGGTTCATGGCCGCCGTCGTGTCCGACCGGTGGGTCATGGCCGAGCCCGGGCTCCCAGTCGACATCGGCTTCTCTCCCGCCCGCCGCTCGTCCGAGGTCTCGGATGCGGCGAAGCGGGTTATACGCGCGGCGGCGGTGGAGGAGGCGGAGCAGGACGCGGGCGCGCAGAGCGATCTGGATAGCATGTATTTCAGCGGGAAGGCGGTGGACAAGTTTGCTTGTCTGGCGTGCGCGGCGTGGGACGCTCTGAGGGAGAGGGAGTTGGTGGGGGGGTTGCTGGAGAAGGTGAGGGAGGCGCTCGCGCGGTTTGTGGAGAACCGGCAGAAGTTCCCGCTCGCGTACGACGGTGAGGTCGTTCCACGGGGATGCGGTGATCACGGCGCGTTGCTCATGGTCCGATAGGGGTGTGGAAGGGCCTCGTTACGACCGCGATATACAAAACGGGAGACTTGATGAGCGACTTTGGGAATGGATGCTACAGTGAGCACATAACGGAAACATATAATCCGGGTTGGGGATAACAATGAATACCAGACGACCACCACTTCCACTACGGCTACTTCGTGCACGCAGCCGCGGTCGTCGCCCGCCTGGACAAGGAGCTGCACAACTCCACCGCGTGGCTCGACGCGCACCGCGACTACGTCAACACCCTCATCCGCGACGTGAGCACTCCCCCCCCCCCGCACCCACCTCACACACACAATCTGAGCATCACGTCCGTCTGCAGGCAGCCAACCCGAGCGAGCGGGACACGCACTTCCCCGCCTCGCGCGCCTTCGACTGGTTCCACGGGCACAGCTGGGCAAAGGGGCTGTTCGAGTCCGCCGACGGGAAGGACGAGGAGTCGACGTCCGAGGACGCGTATTTCTCGTATGCGCTCAAGCTGTGGGGCGCCGTCACGCGCGACGCGGCGACGGAGGCGCGCGGGAGCTTGATGCTCGCGCTGCAGCGGCGCGCCTTCCGGAACTACTTCTTGATGGAGGAGGGGAACGGCAACCAGCCGCCGCGCTTTGTCGCGAACAAGGTCGCTGGGATCGTGCGTCGCTCCTCAGGTCTTCTTTGCTTGCCGTGCTCAGGTTGCATGATTGCCGTAGCTGTTCGAGAACAAATGCGACCACGCGACGTACTTTGGTATGGAGACGCACTTCATCCAGGGCATCCACATGATCCCCGTCTCGCCCATCTCGCCGTACATCCGCTCGGCAACCTTCATCAAGCAGGAGTGGGAGCGCTATTTCTCCGCAGGCCGCGTCGACCAGGTGGAGGGCGGATGGAGGGGGATTTTGTACGCGAATTATGCTATCATAGAGCCTAAAGCCGCTTGGGAGTTTTTCGCGAGCTCGAGTTTCAAGAACGAGTGGTTGGATCAGGGCGCGAGCAGGACGTTGTACCTCACCCTCGCAGCTGGTAGGTGCTTCTTCGAATCGTGATGGCGAGACTTGATGGAAAGGGTTCGACAGCGTGGGGGTGCCAGTGACTGAACATATGAGTGTGTTCGCGTCACTGGTAAGTATCAGCTTGCCAGTTCTCAACGCATAATCGCCAAAGTGTATCCCAATTATCCGGCTGTATTAGTACCGTCAACACTGCGTGAGTCCGTCGTGTGCTTTACTGATGTAGACCATCTTTCTCCGGTATAGTACGCTGCCCAATCCTGCGTCCAATAAACCTCCCAATCTGTCATTCCAGAGTACTCGGTCGACAAACTCATGCGCGTGCTGCGAAGGTCGCTGGAAATCGTGAACGGTCAGAAGTGGATCGGCGGAGATCGTGCCTTATCTACTCACGGTGGGGCAACCAGCAGAAGGCCTTGTCGACCTGGGTGACGGTCACATCCACCTCTCCGAGCTGCTCCGCCTGCCCGCCCGTCAACTCGTTCATGGCCTCCTCCGAGATGTTGAACCCTTCATCGGCATGGTCGACCGCGACGATGTTCATGTATTTCCCGTTGTACTGCAGCTGCCAGCACGTCCCGCACTGCGCCGAGTTCCACCCTTCGACCTTATCCGTCCCGCCGATGTAAGGGAAACCGGGGAGGGAGCCGAAGGTGGTGTAGTGCAGAGTCTCGAGGCCGTTAGGGCCGTCGGAACATGCGACGGTGTCGAGGGACTGGTCGGCGTTATCGTAGACCGGGTCGTAGGAGACCTTCACTCCGAGTGCAAGGGGGAGGGCGGAGGCGGCCAGGGATAGGAGCGCGACTGTGAATTTCATGACGGGGGTATATGAAAGGGCAAATTGACGAGCGGGGGGAGCGTTTGCGAGCCAACTTATTGCCCCGCCGACGCTGCTCCTGTTTGTTTTATAGCGCGAGGGAGGCGGGGCTCCCCACGCCGTCTGTGAAGTCGGCAAGCGCCTACGGTGATCATCGACCGCTGCCATGCTGGTCCCCCTGCGACGGATGGCTCGTCGCCATGAACAAGTATCGAAGTTAGCGTTTCAAGTGCTCGATCCAGAGTAGCCATGTCTCCCTTGTGTCTCCCACAACCTTACGTCGAGCATCTCTTGGCGCTGTTGGTACAGACGCCGTCCACCACGATGCATTTGCCCCATGACTGGAACCAGTGAGTACTTCAGGCCGCGTAATGATCCTGCCTGTATCTGGTACGGCTGGTACCACATGCTGCAACGTATAACGGTCAACAATTGCAATTCTGGTTTAAAAAATCCCCGGTTGAGGCTGTTGCTATGACCTAGCTACAAGGCACAGAAGGAATGACAAGGAGTTAGTGCGCTCTGGCCGGATTTAAGCTGTTTGTCAGCGGTAGCCTTCCACAAACCCAGCACTGGAGGCGTTTATATGCGAAAGTCATAATGCTCCAGGTAGAGAAAGAGCCATTGCCACATCTTAAAAAGAGGGATCAGCAAACTCAATGAACCCGACCCGGATTGAACGGATGACCTTGTGGAGATTCCAACCAATACTGGAATCACACGCTCTACCTCTGAGCTACGGGTTCTAATGGTCTCAATAAATCATAATATAATTATCGTCATTGTCATATACATCCTCCCTGGCGAAACTGGCCTTGTCTCTTGAAACTGCTCCAGCGACTGCGTGCATCGGTGTCTTGGTTCGTCGTAAATTTACTGCCCATTAACTACTAGTAGATCTCAATTATGGAGTAGCATGGCGAGCTCTTCCAAGTCGCAACACGCCATTATCCACTCATGTCAACACTGTAGATAAAGTGCTACCCACAAAACATCACCCTTGCTCCGAGCATGAGCGCCGACTGCAAGCTCAAGGATGCGGACAGAGAATCCATATATACTCCTATTCTCTCGGCGATGGCCAATAGTAGAGGTCTCTTGACCCAACGTCTGTAGAAGTATTTAGGCGTCGGCCACCAACAGCTTCGACTTGTCCACGCCCCCCTCAGATGCGTCCCAAACATGATCAGCTGAGAGCGGCGGGGGACAGCTGCTGTTGTCTAATCCTAGTTTCGGCAGAAGGGTTATCATAGGAGAAGTTGATGGAGGGTGCTTATATAGAGGGAGCCGAACCCGCTGTAGCCGCCATCTACTTTTGTTACGATCAAAACATTCTTTCACAATCACACGTGTTTGACACACGTATGCAGGACCACAAAGACATTGCATTCGTGCACATCTCATTTCAATACCTTTCACGATCACTTATTATTTACGCATTGTTACCTTACCGATCACAGACTACCTCATATTAATAGTGGCTGTTTCCCGCATTTCATTACAAACGCATGTAAACCATTCTGTTAACACATGTACATATTTGTATATCTAGCAATATATAAGCCGCGATAGCAAAGGTCTCATACCTTAGCTTCGATCTGGCATTTCTTCTGTGTCATTAGATCGAAGCTACCCCTCCGCCTTCGCATTGACATTGTCGATACTCCCCACACTCTTCTCTCTACCGTGGCACCCGTAACAAGGAGCCGAACGCGGTACTCTCTCAGATCCAAAGCATCCTATACTTCCTACATCTATCCGTCATCCGAACCCCTATTCTATCCAATCACACCCTACGCCCCAAGACAAGTTCAAGAACAACGACTGAAGACTATCAAGCGCTACCGACGGCACTTAGATAGAAGCATAGTTCTTTACTACTGACCATTTTATTCCTACGCCTGTATTCAGGGGTGGTGCGTACGCACTGAGTTGGGCGAAAACCTACACGCATAACGCGGGCTGTGGACACAGGGACTACCATATCCCCATCGGTCGCAGTGTTCGTAGGGAAGTAGTGACACCGTAGTGACTCTTGAGAGTCAGCGAAAGTGGTGTCAGGGAACTCAGAAAAGCGGCAATACCCTACCCTGAGTACAGAAGCTCCTGGGCTCGTGACCCTTGAGTGAAGAGGCAGACGCCGGGTACCAGACGAGAAGACCCGGGTCAGACAGCCTTGCACCCATTCCCACTCCTAATCACCTAGCCTCGACATCTACCCGAATCTGTGAACTGAGTAGCAGATCTCGGTTCTTCCAACGAAGCTCCCATCACGGCCGATCACCGTTACCAGATCGACGACGAAGACCCTTGGTCTGGAACACCTCGACCATATTCACCCATTTCATATACCAACACTCCCCGAACACCCCAGTCAGAAATCTCTGACGATATCTACCCACCCGACATCAATCCCACTGCAATCCAGAACCTAATCGCCAGAGCAATGGCAGGTAACAACGACCAGAAGGAAAAGAAAGGGCACGTCGCCAAGCCCGAGTATTTTGACGGGAACAAAGACAAGTTCAAAGCCTGGTGGAGACAGGTACTCGGGTACCTGAGGAATAACAAGAAGGATTTTGACACGGACGATGAAAAAATCGACTTTGTCATCTCCTATCTCCGAGGACCGAAAGCAGAAAACTGGTCCCAGAATTATTACGACCAGTTTTTCAAAGATGACACGGAGAACTGGGACAAGACGTGGGCGGCATTCAAAACAGATATCACCACCGTGTTTCAGGACTCGAATCTTGCTGCGCAAGCGCAGATCAAGATTGATCATTTACGTCAAGGACAGAGGCCGGTGGAGGAATATTTCCAGGAATTGGAAATATTAATGACCCAAGCAGGATACAGAAAGGAGGATCAGTATATCCTAAAAACCGTACGTACCAGCGTCAATGACGCACTCGTCGACAAAGTCTATGGACAAGTCACAGTGCCGACGACGTATGACGGATGGAAGGATGTGCTAATCAAACTTGACAACGCTTGGCGAGAACGCCAGCAGGAGAAGGCTATGCGGGGCCTAAGAACAACACCGCCAAAGAGAGAAGGAGTGCCGACTACAAATCAAACGCAGCCCGCACCACGAGCACAACCGACGCAGAAACGCGACGGGACGGGAACGACATATCTGGGAACAGGACAACCCATGGATGTAGACCGGGCGTGTCTCAAGTGCAAGGCCAAACAGTCGGAGAAGGGAACATGTGGAAGCACGTGGCACGTACCCAACAGGACGGGGAAAACCACGAGCCAAGTCAGACAGGTGGATTGGACAAAACCAACGTCTGATTTCATCTCGGCGATCAAAGAGTGGTCGCGGAAGGATCCTGAAGGGTTCAAAGCAGCGGGTTTTGGCTTCGGCACAGCTTGAGCGCACCAAGCTCCCTGCCACTTAATTCTCATAACAAGTTCTCTGCGCTAGTCGTAGAAGAACCAACACCGGACAGTATCTATATTCAGAACGTTTCCATGCAATTTTACAAAGAACTCGAGTCTCAAGTAGCACAGGATGTATTTAATGCTACAGAATCAATCAAATGGGTAGAGGAGTCTTCTAAACAGAAGCTCGGCAGGACCCCTGAACCTGTGCTTAATTCCTCTAACAAAAACCAAAAACATTCAGAAAATGATCGAGTGCGACGATCACAAAAGCCAAAAACAGAAGCACCTATTTTTGCAGAAGGACCTAAATTACTTAGGGTCGTGCGAGGACTCAAAAACGGCATGCAAATGGACCTGCCGTTAACTCTCACGAAATTCGAAACGGAAGAAAAGAAGGACGTGGTAGCGCTCTTAGATACCGGTTGCACGGGTTCTTGTATCAATGAGAACACCGTTGTAAAACTTGGACTAGAGCGTCATCGTTTTGAAAACGATATACCAGTATTTAATGCCGACGGAACTCCAAACGTGGCTGGTAATATTACCGAATATGTACGAGTCAAAGGTCAAATCGGAGACCATGAAGAAGTCCTAAATTTGCTAATCACGAACCTCGGCAAGTCGGACGTATTCCTTGGCTACGAGTGGCTAGAATTCCATAATCCTGAAATTGATTGGCAGAATCAACTGCTGGATTTCACACGCTGTCCATCGCGTTGTACAGAAATGCATAAATCCCAGCAGATTAACCAAGTCGAGATCGAGGAGGAGGATTCTATATTTATGATTGACCCCAATACTTGGATCAGGCAGAAAACCCAAAACGAAAGAGAATATGCGCGATATTTATCAACGAAAATGCTGCGGGCCACTGCTTTGGACATAGCTATCGAAGCCAATAAATCGAAGAAATCCAAAACCTTTGAGGAAATGGTTCCGGAACAGTACCGTCCATTCAGTGACGTATTTAAGGAAGAAACATTCAATACGCTTCCAGAGCATCGACCGTGGGACCACGTCATTGAGCTTTTACCAGGAAGCAAACCCTATTCTGGAAAAGTGTATGCCATGACGATCGATGAACAAAAAGCGTTGGATGAATTTCTTGAAGATAACTTAAAAACCGGCAGGATCCGACCAAGCAAGTCGCCTTGGGGGGCACCATTCTTCTTTGTCAAGAAAAAGGACGGGAAACTGCGACCAGTCCAGGACTATCGCAAGTTGAACGAAATGACGAAGAAAAACAAATACCCCTTACCGCTCATTCAAGACCTTATCAATAAATTAAAGAATGCAAAATATTATACGAAACTAGATATTCGATGGGGATATAATAATATTCGTATGAAGGAAGGAGACGAAGAGAAAGCCGCTTTCATCACCAATCGCGGACTTTTCGAACCACTCGTCATGTTCTTCGGGTTAACCAACAGCCCGGCAACCTTCCAGACTATGATGAATGATATCTTCAGAGCATTAATTATGCAAGGAAAAGTGATAGTATATCTGGACGATATACTTATTTTCTCCGAAAGTCTGGACGAACATCAAAAGATTGTCAAACAGGTCTTGGAAATCCTTCGAGAGCATAAGTTAACCTGCAAGCCAGAAAAGTGCGAGTTTGAAACTCAAGAAACAGAATATTTAGGACATATTATTGGTCAAGGAACCATCCAGATGGATTCTAAAAAGGTCCAAGATGTTACACAATGGCCGACGCCAACCAACAAAAAGGACATTCAACAATTCCTGGGCTTCGCGAATTTTTATCGAAAATTCATAAAAGACTTCGCAGCCATCACTCAACCCATGACCAAACTCACCGGGCAAGCGGAGTGGACATGGGGACAGGAGCAACAGGAGGCGTTTGAAACACTCAAAACGGCCATAACAAAAGCACCAGTGCTGGCAGTACCCAACGATCATGACCAATATCGCATAGAGTGCGATGCATCCAAATATGCACTAGGAGCTGTACTCTCACAAAAACAAAATAATATATGGAAACCTATTGCATTTCTATCTAGAAGCCTTAACCCGGCGGAACGTAATTATGAGATCTACGACAGAGAAATGCTGGCAATCATGACAGCACTCGACGAATGGGACAATTTCCTTCGCGGTGCAAGTCAAAAATTCGAGATTTATACGGATCATAAAAATCTTGAATATTTCCGAAAGCCGCAGAAACTCAACCAACGACAGGCGCGCTGGGTTTTAGAGCTCCAAAATTATGATTTCACCCTGGTACACCAACCGGGTAAAACTATGATCAGGGCAGATGCCTTATCCCGTAGACCGGACCACGATAAAGGCGATTCCGATAATGAAAATACTATTTTATTAAAACCCCAATGGTTCAGAAGTGCGGAAGTGCTAGGCACAGAAGCACTAAAAACCAAAATATTATGCCATGTCAATAATTATGAGGAATCCATAAAAGAAAAAATATTACAAAAACACAATGATTTTTCCAGACCGAGGACGGTCTGATCTGGAGAAAGGGGCGAATTGTTATTCCCAATGACAAGGCGCTTCGAGGTCTAATTATTGCCTCACATCATGATTCGATTTCTGCAGGACATCCCGGACAGATGAAAACGCAGGAATTAATTTATAGATCTTATTGGTGGCATAACATCAAGAAAGACGTGAAAGCTTATGTAAAGGGATGCGACATATGCCAAAAATCAAAAATAAATCATCAGCAGAAGGCCGCGCCTTTACACCCTAATCCTATTCCTGAAAGGAACTGGCAGTACATATCCGTGGACATGATCACGCACTTGCCACTTTCTCAAGGACATAACGCTATAATCGTCGTAGTCGATATGAAGTCCAAAGATTTCGTTGCAGTACCAACCACGGATGAATTGACTTCGGAAGGCTGGGCGAATATTTATATCAAATACGTTTGGTCAAAGCATGGGCTTTCCGAACGTATTACGTCTGATAGAGGACCCCAATTTGTATCGCAATTCATCAAGGATGTGTACAAAAAGCTGGGGATACAAGGAAATCCAAGCACGGCGTACCACCCACAAACCGATGGACAAACCGAACGAATCAATCAGGAGATCGAGAATTATTTAAGAATGTTTATAAATTATCGACAAACTGATTGGCCTGAATGGTTACCTATTTGCGAATTCATATATCGCAATAGACAACATTCAGCAACCGGATACTCTCCTTTTTATTTAACCCACGGACATCACCCTTACACTGGAGTGGAAACTCGGAAAGAGATAAAGAGCGAACAAGCAGACCAATTTGTCACAAGAATGAAGAAGCTGCAAGAAGAAGCATCGGCCGCTCTCAAACTCACCAAGGAGTACATGAAGGAAAAATGGGATAGCAAGAAACGAGATTCAGTAAATTATATGGAAGGAGATAAGGTCTGGCTAGAAGCAGCAAATATAAGCACGGATCGACCAAACAAGAAACTTGACGACAAACGATACGGACCATTCGAGATCGTCAAGAAGGTCGGAAACAGTGCTTATAAGCTCAAACTACCTAAAACCTGGAAAATCCATCCAGTATTTAATGAAGTACTCCTCACGCCTTACCATATGCAAGAATTCCCTAATCAAAAACCAACGAGAACCATTCCTAATATTATTGCTATCGAAACAAAAGTGGAGAAAATCCTAGATTCAAGGGTACGACGAGGCGGACTGCAATATTTAATCAGATGGGAAAACAAACCACGATCAGAAGACACGTGGGAATCACGATCAAGTTTGATCAAGCAATACAAAAGTTTGATCGATGAATTCCACAGGCAAAATCCTGACGCGGCAAGGATGCCCACGATTACCGTGCCTGGCGCACTACGAAACGTTAAACTATCAGAAAAAGAAAAAGAAGTATCTTATGATAATGAATGGGAAAAGTGGACAAACACTTACAAACGATGGATAACGCGAACAGCGAAAGCTACCGATTTACCATCAATGACGCAATCGGAAATAGCTGAACTGTTTTTCGGGACGCGCGTTCTCCACGAACATCCATCACAAACCACCATCATACCATCATGTTCACAATCCCGACCTCAAACATCGTCTTATTCGCTATTCTCGTGGCGCTAGTCGTCACAGTCGCCATTCTCGGCACCACATTCATTATCTGCATATACCGCCAAAATCGTCGCAACTCCCTTGAAGTCATTGGACAACGCCGACAAAGCCTGGGAGGAATCATCGAATTAGAAGTTGTCAGACGCGGGGGCACACAACACTAATCGCGAGGACGCGATCCTAGAGGAGGGGGTAATGTTACGATCAAAACATTCTTTCACAATCACACGTGTTTGACACACGTATGCAGGACCACAAAGACATTGCATTCGTGCACATCTCATTTCAATACCTTTCACGATCACTTATTATTTACGCATTGTTACCTTACCGATCACAGACTACCTCATATTAATAGTGGCTGTTTCCCGCATTTCATTACAAACGCATGTAAACCATTCTGTTAACACATGTACATATTTGTATATCTAGCAATATATAAGCCGCGATAGCAAAGGTCTCATACCTTAGCTTCGATCTGGCATTTCTTCTGTGTCAAAAATCACGTCCAAACTGACCGGATACAGGAATCAACACCACTTTAGTTCAACTTGGACCCCCTCAGAGAATCTGCTTCTGCACATATTTTATCATTTATTTCACCCAGCCCACTTGGACTAAACTGATAGTGCCAGTCAAAATCAATATATTAAAGCTCTTAGCATTACATATCTAAATA